CCCCAAAACCCCAAAACCCCAAAACCCCAAAACCCCTTAATCTTGAAGAAATATTGAATATATTTATGCTGTATCTTATTATGAACTTCCAGGGATGACAACATCTGGGTTCTTACCCCATTTCGCCCTCTTAGACCGATCATTGGACTTATCAAAACTATCTTCGACATCTTGCTTTTTCTTGGCTAGTAACTTAAGCCGTTGATTATGAAGTTTCAGCCATCTTTCGTTGCTTTCTTGCTTCTTTTTATTTGCCTTCATTTCTATCTCCTTTTCTTTCTCAAGTAAGGCTTTTTGAATATCATGCTGCTTCTTGATCTCCTCTTCTCTATCATTCACTGTTATTTTCCGCCTGACAAATCTATTTTCTTGAGTGGTTTTCTGTTTCCTAAGAGCAGGCTCTTTCTCAAAAGCAACTTTAGGCGTTGCTCCACTAACCTTATTTCCTTAGCTGAGGTCTTTTGGGGTTTCTTTTTATTCTAGAATCATTCACATTTGATTGAGCTGAAGGAGTAATTTTCCTATAACCTTGCACATTGTTGGTAGAACTTGGCTTCACAGATTTTACATTATTCGACTTGTTTCTTATATGACTATGGCCTTGTATATAAAGGTCAGTATTGCTAGCCTTTAGCTTATTTTTGTTTTTCCTCTTCTCTGTTCTTAGCCAGTTTTTGCCTGTATTCAATGAGGGATTTTGATCCTTACTTCTTATTTAATATTGTTAGTCTCAATTTTATCAATTCCTACTTTCAGAGCTAGTTCGTACTGCTGATCTAAGAGCTATGAAAGTAGACACTTACCAGTTAGATCAGTTTCTTTTCTGAGACCATCTGTTTCAAGTTCTATAGCGCTAAGATCATTTTTATTCTCTTCAATAGGATCATTATTAGAGCTCTTCTTGGTTTCTTCTCTAGTTTCCTCTTCACCAAGTTTGCTCTTATCGTATTCAATTTCAATTTCTTCAGGAATTTGTTCCTCTATATTTTCTTGGCACTTTATCTCTTCATATTCTAGCTGAGGAGTAATGAATTTTAGGTTCTAAGAGGTTATTCTATCATACTTACAAGGTAATCAATGATTTCATCAATATTCATTCTTTGTTCTGGATCTTTGTGCAGAAGGTTATCAACAAGATACTTTAAATCTTCAGAATACTTGCTTGGTATTTCTGTGTACTCCCCTGAGACTATTTTTATAGCAAGCGCATGGATTGAGTCAGCCTTGAAAGGATGCCTAAGCATACATAGTTCATACAAAACTACTCCTAGTGCATATATATCAGACTTTAAATTATATCATTGGTTTTCAATAATTTCAGGAGATAAGTATCAAGGAGTTCCGACGATTGTCTGCACATTTTCCTTCGTATTCTCTAAAATCTTGGAAATTCCAAAATCCCCGATCTTAATTCTACCTTCAGATGTTCAAAAGATGTTCTGCGATTTGATATCTCGATGTAACAACTTATTTATCATGACAATACTTCATACCTGCACAAATTTGGGAGAAATATACTATAATGTCTTGCTCTGAGAAGCTCATGTTATTATCCTTAAAATGCTTAATTTTTGATGAAAGGTCTCCTCCATCAGCATATTCCATGACTATGCACAGCTTCTTGCTCTTAGTAAAGTAAACATCTTTAAACTGAATAATATTAGGATGGTGCATCTCTCTGAGATAAATAGCTTCTTTCATAACTGTCGGATTCTTTGCATTGAACTGGATCTGCTTGATCACACAAAGGGATTTGTCACTCTTTGCCTCAACTAGGTATGCTTTACCATATGAGCCCTGGTTAAGCAACTTTATGCGCTTATATTTCTCAAAATTTCTCTCTGCCATTATATTTTAAAATAGGAAAAATTACAATTTATTTGAAGAAATAGGGGTTTTGGGGTTTTGGGGTTTTGGGGTTTTGGGG